ATTAGATGAAAATTTTTAAACATATTAGAATAGGAGGGCGCCATATCAATAGCCTATAAAAACTATTTTTAATTTTATTAACATTTATTCTTTCTCTCTGATTGAATATCCCTTTTAACCTATAAATTCTTCACTCTCTATTTTATGTAATAATGCCTTGATTTAAAATCTACTTATCTAAAATTAAAAAAATCAAAGGAAAACTACATATTTATATTTAAATTAATTCAATTTATTAGTCAATAAATGTATACACAATATAAAAATTTGATAAGTCATTGAATTATAAATAATTTTTTTTATTGGTTTATTTTCTTAATTCTTTTAACCCAGTCAATTTATTAAATTGTAAAAATATTAGTTTTATTAAACCATTTTTTTATTATATATTTACCCTATTCCATATCTGGCGACCCTTTGAACATTAACCCTAATGTTAATCTTATCCAAGAGATTATTTTTAGACAATGAAAAATTTCACCATAATTCAATGACTTACCAAAATTAAATATCATAATGGAAATACTTTTATTAAAAATGCGAGTTTACCATACAAAAAAAAATACAATTAAAAACTTGAAAATTATTAACAATTAGAGTGATATTGTAAAATTGAATTTAAAAAAGATTGATTTATTTGGAGATGTAATATTTTTATTTTATAACTGACAACCCATATCATATCACTAATCACAGTAATAAAAAATAATATAGTGGACCGATTGTTATAATGATAAAACAAAGGATTCCGGCTATCACTTGGTCTAGCACAAACAAAAAATGATATTAACAAACAAGATTTTTTTCCCCTCTGGGCCATATGATATCGACATACCAACAACAATTAAAGATTATATTAGAAATAATGGCAAGAATGATGGTAATGATAGCCAGGAACCAATTGTATAATAATAGAGGTCTCCAGAATCCACTACAACTAGTACGAATAATATAAAAAACAAAAAGAGAGAAAAAAATGAAAGAAAGTTCTAGGACGCAGGATATGGACATACCATTAACATTTAAAGCTTGAAAAAATATACTTAAACATAAGAAGTAGAGATCTGCAAATCAAGGCCCGGCCCGTACCCCGACCAAATATTCTGCCAACAACGGAACTAATATATCACCGCCATACTTACTCCTCTCTTCTTTACTATTTTAGCTGACAACATAGTGGTACCGTTCACTCTAATAAAGCGGGTAGACATCATGTATGGGATCAATATATTAATGGAAATACATGATGCACACTTCAACTCCTGGTGGGTGATAAGATTGCATGAAGTGCAATTTCTGGCGTCATAATGAATGAATGTATGAATAAAAAAATATAATAGTATGCCCCATGCCCTGATAAAGTATAGGCTTAAACCCATTTAGTATCAAATAAAAGATAATTAAAATATTTTTTAATTTTGTTGATAATTATTAATCGGGCATGTCTAAGTCTTGAGTAAGGGGGGGGAAGGGGGGGGGGGGTGTAGAGGTCTGCACGGGCTGTCAGAAGCTCGACCCGTCGGACATTGAAAATTTTTTTCCCTCGAGCTAGCGTCGGGTTGTAAGATGTATCCGACATGAAAAATAAATACTAAATATACAAATATCTGTTGTTTCACAAAAATGTCAATTAGAAAAACTGATATTATTTTTTAGAAATTTTTTTTTTCTATAAACAATTATATCACTTTTTTTCGAACATCAATCATGCAAATTATTTTTATATAATCCCAAAATTTTTATATTCGATTATATTTTAACTTTACTTTTTATATTTAAACTTAATAAAATTTATGTTACAAATTAGATAAAACGCAACTTTATATCAACATTGATTAGATTATTGGGGGTTAAATATGCTTTTATTTAAGGTGGCAATGCGTGAATAAATACACATAATTTTTATTTGTTTCTTAGATAGACCCCCCTTGCCCCTCCTAATTATATACACGACCCTCTTCTCTGAGCTGAGTCATTAAAATGACAAAAATATTCCTATTGATAGGTGATAACCACTTTGTACCCATCGTAGCTATATTATCCTGCTCCTTTGGGCAAGCCGCTTTGAATCTTTTCGAGCCGAAATCCATAAGGAAAAATATTTATATATCTCCTTTTTATAAACTTAAGCAAAACATTGCTATCACAATAATTCGATCCGATTATTTAATGTTTAAAATTCTTGCCCCGAATCATTCACGCATTCTCCTTTTTAATTTTTTATAAGTTTTTTCTATAATTTAATATATTTGTTCTTTTTTTAAATATTTTTCATGTTCCATTTTAATATAGATTTATATGTAAATTTGATGGGGTGGATCTAAAAATGTGTGCTCGAGCTTGGACACAAATTTTAAAATTCAAGCACGGGTCGCGAAAAATCTCATTGCAGACATCTAGGGGGGATTAAGAATATTCTTATCAACATAAACTTTTGATATGAGAATCAAATAAATGGAATGGTAACTAAAATATCTTTACTATAATGTTAAATATTATCTAAAGTGGTTGTGTCTAGATCATGGGGGGGGGGGGGGTCAGGAAATTTTTACCAACCCAAAACACTGATATAGGCGCCAAATAAAAAGCAATTAAAATATCTTTCAACTAAAATTGTAAATATCACTTTAAGTGGTCGGGTCTATGTATTGGGGGGGGGGGGGAATATTTTTATAAACATAAAATATTGATATGGGTAAATATGAGTATCAAATAGAAGCTAATTAAAATAAAGAAGAAAATTCTGATTTCTCTTTATTCTTGACGATAAGCTAATTATATTCGTTTTGTTATTATATATAATAAGTTTTAAATTGGGCAATTTTGTTACCAACACCAAGAGCTAATAAATGATCTATATTATAAAATGAAAAAAAGTGTATAAGAAATAAAATTAGATAGCTTTTTGGGAATACGTTCTGAAAAATTTCAGAATATAGAACGACATATTTATTTGGCCGGAACAGGGACACAAACTGGGTCCCTGCTCAAAAGTATCTAATTTAATTTATTTATTTTAAAAAGGTTTCATTTAAATGGCTACTAATTTTGTAACCCTATCAGAAACATTGGTGGGATAAAAATTAACTTTTCCTAATATCATTAGTCATTAAAATTTAATCATAATTCAATATAAGATTATTACTGCTAAAAATATTCATATTTGTACATTTTTAATCAAATCAAAATAGTTAAATTGGTTAAAAACTTGAACTGTTCATTCAAATTCATGTGAAAGAAACTCATCTTAGTTGATTTATATCAGAAGTATGAAGGCAAAGCCGTAATTTTTTATAAAATAAATAGGGACCGATATTTTTATCGGATCTGGCCGATATTTCAATCATTTTAAAATATCGGTTATCGGCTAATATTATAAAATTTTCCGATCCGATAAAAAATGGTGTTTTTAACAAGAATAAAATGTTATAAATTTATAAAAAGTTATATCTAAAAAACCATTCATTTTTATGTTTATTTTTTTAATAATAATAATTAATTAATAAACATTCTGGTTATTAAATTATTTACTAAATTTTTAGTATCTCCACTTGTTCACCATATTCTTTATTTATTCTTATTTTAATTTCTATATCATATTAATTATTTATTTATTTTACCTTCCAGCAAATAGAAAATACCCAAATAACTTTATTTTATATTTTTTACATAATAATTAAGTATTTACAAATTTCTAACTAAATTTATTAAATTAAAATAATTATTAAAATTTATAAGTTTTTTGGAAAAAGTATTTTTTTTAAAATCTATATACTACTTCTTTCTTTGCTATATTCATTACTAAACATATATATGGCTCAGGTGTAGTTCCATTCTCATATAACCTCATATCTGTGTTACAAGGTTTGTTGGTATCCTTGAGAAAAAAATCGGGATAATATATGAAAGATGGGCCTTCTAATTCACGCACGCTCACCTTTGGGTAGGTCTATGATCAACGTGCAAATTAAGATAAAAATAATAAACATTCTGCCATATTGTTATTTTTTGTGCATTCTGTTTATAAAAGTAAGCGATAATCTCTTCAGAATGTTTTTTAGTGAAGGTGGTGATATTGACAGTCCCCATCGCCGCAGGCTGACCTCTGATAAATTGGATTATAATATATTTAAATGATATATGTTATAGTATAGTTAAATTATAGACGTTATACTAATAAAAAGTATATTAAAAATTAAAACCATGTATCTTTACAGAATACAAAATTAGATATGATATCGGATCGGTAATCAGCCTATATCAATTCAATATCGAAAATATCGGATTGGATTGGCCTCCAAAAAGTGGTATCGGTACACCCCTAAAAATAAATAAAAATAACGTTGAATTTAAATTATATATCAATTAATAAGTTGGAAAATAATAATCATATTTCCGATTATACCTAAAAAAATATCGAATATTTGCACTATTCGCATCCGATTAGTATTTTCAAATCGATTAATTGCATTATTCATATTCGTACAAATAATAAAAACTTTATTCAATTTCATTAGTCGAGTATTCGTTTGAAAATTAAATTCCCAAAAAATAATTTAAAAATGAAAAAAAAAAGGCTTATTAAAATTTAGAAAGTAGTAAAAAAAAGTTAAGAAATAAAAATTCCGCAAAGAACATGGAATAATTTAGAATAATTTCGAATATTAACAAATATAAAAAAATTATTTGACAGATAATATATTTTCCTTATTCTTTTGGTAATTTATTAAATTCTTTTTAGATATATTTCCGATTTACAAAATAGAGCCAAAATTATTAGATGTGATTTAAAAAATTTCGGACCAGGCTAGGCCATCAAATGATCAAAAATGAAAATTCGGGACAGGTAAAACTGGGCCAGGTTTAAAAATATATTTCCCCCCAATATAAGCCAGATTGAGCCTAAAATTTTAATCTAGCCTGCATGTCTTAGATTTATATGGTTTAGGAAAGGGTGTATATCTATTTTAAGCTTTTATTAATAAGATGTATTTAATTACCATTGAAGTAAGATGGTTGAAATTTTTTGTGATTGGCATCTTGGATAGTTTTAAAGGTGGGTGTTTCGAAGAGCCTTATATAGTAATTTTTTATAAAAAAACATTTTTTCAATATTATTTGTATATGTTAGTGTAGAACTAGTCCACAATTATTTCTACCCAAGCCCATAACATATAATTTTACAGATTGTTGGACCTGGCTTTTCTATGAAAGAAAATGACATAAATTTGTCTCAGTTATAAAGACATTTGCAAAACTTTAGCATGAAAGGTAAAAATATTTTGCACAATTTGTCAGACATCCCCTAGGTGTTTTTAAAACCATTTAATATAATTAATATGAAGCATGGGCTTACTTACCATTATTTTTCACAAGGGGGAAGGAAGACTTTTGGGTGACCCCCTTCCTCACAAAAAATCTTATTGTTAGACCCACTTTTAGAGTTACAGACCAAAGATGCACTAATACTTTTCACATAAATCAGTATCAGCTGATTAGCCAATACTAGTGGCCTATAAATTATAATTAACCTTTATAAATATAATATATTTTTAAACTAAATTGAACATAAATTTATAAAAAAAATCATATATAAATAGAAATTTCTAAATAAATAAAAAAGTGGTGTTAATTTTTTTTTCTTCCTATTTCCTTTTTTTAATTTAAAATTTATATTATAAATTTCATAAGATAAATAAAAAACGATAATATTGATCTTTCCTTTTTTCCAATTAATAAAAATATTCAAAACACTAAATTAATAATATTTTAAAAAAAACAACCTGGCCAAAGGTCTGCAATAGGTGTACCTAAGATGCTACAAATCATGCTAATAGTGACCCACATATGATTAAATATGGTATATACAATAGTTTGTTATATTCAAGATGTAAAAAAAAATAAATAAAATATTTTTGTTTATATAATAATCTTAAACCATATAGCCTGGTTAGAGTCATCAAAAGCATCCAAATCGATAATATCTAACCCTTCCTCTAAATATATCATCTCTTTTATATCCATATCATGCCCCAAGTATAAATCAAGGGCTATCGCTATGCTATCTAGCAAAATTAAATTCACATATGGGAGTATCAAACAATCGAAATTTTATATCAGGTGTTTGGTAAAAATTTTAATGAGGTAAAATATTAAATTTTAATATGATCTTGTTATGTTATACAGAGAATAATTCCCATTTTAAAAATAGGAAAATGTATTGTCAGACATTTTAGCGAGGTATCACCTTGATAAAAACTTTTAATATGCATTATTATAAAATAATATAAAATATTGAATAATCTTATTTTGCAATTAATTTAATTATATGTTTCAAATATATATAATCGTAAACTCCATTAATAAAAATTTTCTATCTAAAATATATTACAAATGGGGGAGGGGGGGGGGGGTCTTCTATAACATCTGTACTGCGCTAAATTGGCAAGGAAACCGATATTATATATATTCATAGCAATGAACCAAAATGCCTCCTAGCATAAAAATAATTTAACAATTAAATCTGTTCGTTAGAAAATATTTTGATTGATTAATGCATTTGCACATTTTTCCCTTAATTTATGTAAAAAAGAAAGCCATACAGTCTCTTTTCTTACTATTTGTTTTGTTTATTTGGCTCAATTCTTTTATTCCTCCTTGTTAGATATTCCTTTCCCAATAACTAATATTTCTTTTGATTTTTCATTATCTTTGTATAAATTAATTTATATCATTCAATTTAATTTTTATACTCAATTTATTTTCTTCTTTATTATTATTTTGGTTATTTATATAGCGTGTAACTTAAATATCATCTTATTTTTTATATATATAATTGTTTATTTTGATATTAATATCAATTTATATATACAAAAATAAATATGACCATAGCCCCCTTTTCCAGGCTACTATGTATAACACTTACTTTAAAACATGGTTATACCATATTATTTACATTCATTTTTGCCTAAACTACATAATCTTTTGTAATATACTACATAAAGATAAAAGCATTAATTTTATAAAATTCCCTTCCCGGCTATCAGTGTTGTTAAAATAGCGCGCTACTTTTTTCAGTAGCGGTAGCTTTAGCTGGCTACAGCGATAGCGGTAGCTCGCTACTTCGCTACTTTTAATTTTACATAATAAATACACCTAAAAATTATTAAAATATATTTTTTATTAATAAAATTCTAATCCTTTTATTTAATTTAATTTTGAAATTTAAATTTATATTTATAAATATACATTATAAATCTAGTTATCATTATAATCTAGTTATTAAAAATGTGTGAGATTGTTGAAGATAGTGAAATTTCTTTGGAAAATGAAAAAAATTAAGATTATCCTTTCCCAAAATTCAAAAAATACTTTAATATTGAAGAAAAAAATTACTACTGGATATCGGTTTCGATGCAAGAAAATTTTGCCAACCACTGAGAGTCTATGCTAAAAGTCATTGAGAAAGGTCAAAACATTATTTTTATTTTCTATTATACAATTATATAAAATGAATGATTTATTGCTTGATTAGTCATAATTTAAATTGGCTTAATTTACAACACAATCTATAATATTAATATATAGTATCAATATAAAGTTCAAAATTAATATATTATTAATTACCTTATGTTTATATTTTTAAAATCTTTATTTACCATAATTTAATGCTATCTTAATTTTTTTTTATAAATGAACCTAAATCTCAGATAAATTTAAATTTTGAAAATTAAAAAGGTATTCTTCTTATTTTATATTTAATTCAATCGCTTTATATAAGTTAGATTTCCAGATCTGTATGATTATGATAATGTAATAGCTGCCATCGTTCATCCTAGTTTCAAGTTAAATTGGCCATACATTAATTTGACTGAATCTAAAGGGCAACTTGATAGGCTGGTGGTAACGTTAAAAAATGCCATGCCCAACCACGATGCTAATACTATAGCAAGATCGAAACCATGGCCTTCCATTGACGATTTTTTTGAAATAAATAATAATAATAATATTATTGAACCTCTAGATGCTTTTTTTAAATCTAAAAATACTCATTTAAATTTGATGATTTTTTTCATATAAAATTTATTAAATTTAATACTGCGTTGCCCTCAAGTGCTAGTGCTGAACGATTATTTAGTATGGCAAAGCTTATACTTTCTAATCGTCGAGTTCAAAATGTTATTATTATTAAAGTGCAATATTAAATAAATTATATATATATATATATATGTAACAAATTATTGTCATGTTTTTATACCAATATTTTATTTGTGGAAATAAAGTTATGTAAAAAATATTTTCAAAAAAAATCAAAATAGCGTAAAAGCTACTTTTTTTAAAAAGTAGCTAATAGCGCGCTACTGATTTGAAAACGATAGCGGTACCGATAGAGCGCTATTTTTTTATAAAATAGCGGTAGCAATAGCGCGCTACTTTTAAAAGTAGCGTTTAACAACACTGCCGGCTATGGTTCTATGATGGACTATGTGATTTGTAAAAAAAAGATTAATTCTAATGCTTATGCTTTTATATTGATATCAAAGCGGAAATTTACTTTTATATCATCTTTTAAGTTAAAAAAAATTTCCTATATTCTATATTTAAATCTCAGAAATTTATATCCTATTTAAAGAAGTACGTTAAATTTATTTATAATTTACGAAGAAACAATGAGACACATTTTATTTTCTAATCAAATTTTTTCATGTTATAAATATTATTTTAAAAAATTTGAAAACGAGGAGCTTCCCAGAAACGTGATATATGGAGTTGGCGTCTGTCCTTTTCTATTTTCAAATCTAAAGACAAACTCAGTATTAATATTACTTTACTAAAAAAATTGCTCAACCTTAACATTTGAGGGCCAAAAATTATCTTATATTATCATCGTATTCGATTTTACCGTACCCTATTCATCTATTTTGATATCACATTTTCGTAAAATGCTACAAGTCTATTTGACTATCTTTTATGCTATCGCTACTAAATTATAAGAGTCAACGCTACATCTAGTTTCATCGAGTCTTATATTTTGAAATATGATATATTTTGGGATAAAAAATTGATTTTTATAATGATGATAGTTTATTTTTTAGACATTTCATTTGCCAATTTTTTTTTATTATTTCCTTTATGCTTCTAGATTCTTTATTCTAATTTGAACATAATGAATTAAAGTGATTTTCATATTTTGCTACCGATTGAATATTTAACTAAATAGAGTGCGACTTTTTCCAATTATTTATTTTATTAGCGCGCTCCTTTTTGAAAGTAGTTAAAGAGTGCGATAGGTTATTTTCAAAAAATATAACGAATGTAACTATAAACATGAAAATTAAAATATAATATCATAATTAATTATAATCTTTATGATTTATTATTTAATTTTGAAATTGAAATTTATATTTTCAATTTGTATTATAAACCGAAATTATCTGCTGTAAATAATTTAAAGATAGCATACAAAGATTCCCAAGTTAGAACCACAAAAACGACTTCCACTGATAATTTTTTTCGAAATAAAGACTTTAGACTTGGGGGTGATTTTATTATTAAAATGCAACAAAATAAATAATAAATATTACCATAAATAGTTATTTATTTTTATTAAATTAATTTTATATAATCTCCATAAAAACAGGATCGTTTTCGTATCTTTTGTTATATTATGTTTATTATTTTTATGTTTTTTGAGAATTAATTGATTGTTATTGCAATGTTGTCTAGGATATATTGTATTTTTATATAAAAAAGAGAAAATGTAAAAGGATGTAATTTATTTTTGTATGAAAAAGATGAAAACTTTAGATCCATGAAGTTGGCCCCCCACTTTTGTATTTTTAATAGTTTACCAGTTGGATTAATTTGTACCGTTTTCAGTTTGATTTGTACCATCACCGTTTTTGAGATATTCAAAGAACAAAATGGGGGGACAACTTCACGACAGCCCCCCCCCCCAACTTTTGAACTTAAAAATAAAAAGTGCATAGGTCAGAGGATGATTTGTACCGTTTTCAGTTCGATTTGTACCATCACCGTTTTCCAGCTATTGATCGTTAAAAATATGACGCCAAAAATAAAAAACACTCAAAATTTTTTTAAAAAAAATTTCTTAACGTACAACGATAGAGAATTTTTTTCTCTTCCTAATGATGCCTCAAATTAAGCTTTATCTTCATTATATATTTCGGAAATCAAATTTTAAATTAGCCCCCCCCCCCCGATATTCAAGATTGAGAGTTTTCAAATTTTTAAAACGGGATTGATTTGTACCGTTTCAAACTCGATTTGTACCATTACCGTTTTCCAGCTATTAACCGTTAAAAATATGGCGCCAAAAATAAAAAACACTCAAATTTTATTTTTTAAAAAAATTTTTTTAACGTACAATGATAGAGAATTTTTTTTTCTCTTCCTAATGATGCCTCAAATTAAGCTTTATCTTTATTATTTATTTCGGAAATCAAATTTTAAACCTTATATTATAGCGTGAAGTTAGCCCCCCCCCCCCGATATTTGAGATTTTTAAAACGGGATTGATTTGTACCCGATTTGTACCGTTTCAAACTCGATTTGTATCATTACCGTTTTCCAGCTATTGACCGTTAAAGATATGGCACCAAAAATAAAAAACACTCAAAATTTATTTTTTAAAAAAAAAATTTTTAACGTACAACGATAGAAAATTTTTTTCTCTTTCTAATGATGCCTCAAATTAAGCTTTATCTTCATTATTTATTTAATTTCTATAAAAAACAATATCATAATTCTAATCTATATAATAAATGTTTTCTACCTTTGAGATTGTTTGAGGATTTTTATAGGATGAGGTCAATGATGTAAATGAGGCTATTTGAAAGGGGCTTGATATTTGATTGGTAGATAATTTCTAAGTATTTAAATATTATAACTTAATAAGATTTACTATATTACCGAGTTAGAAGTTTCTGTTTGGCATGAAACTATTGATAAATCATCACGATCGTTATCAAAATAATGCTTAAATATTTTTTAAATTTAAAAAATAAAATAACTATTAAACTTACATCTACCTCTGTAGATTTTTTGTTTATAAATCGTTCAGATTTTAAAACATTATCAGTCGGTAGAGAGAATTTCAAATTGGCATCTAAG